AACTGAAATGCAAATCCATCTCCTGGTAGCCAACCTTCCAATTTCGGTGCAAAAATCGAAAGAGTTTCAAGAAGCAACAAAAGCAGATCCAACCCTTCAGACAATTGCACAGCTGACCAAACAAGGATGGCCTGACCACAAACATAAAATACTTGCTGATGCAAGACCATACTGGAGTTTCAAAGAAAAAATCTATGACACTGACAAAATTCTCATCAAAAATCACAAAATGACTGTTCCAGAACAATTGAGACCAGAAATGCTTAAAAGAATTCATGAAAGCCACCTGGGGAATTGAATAGAGCAGACAAAGAGAGTGCAACATCCTGTACTGGCCAAACATGAATGCACAGATAACAGATCTGATTGCAAATTGCAGTTCATGCCTAAAACATAGAAAGGACAATACCAAAGAGCCACTGATACAGCATCAAGTCCCAGAAAGGCCCTGGCAAAAGATTGCCTGTGATCTATTCACCCTTGGTGGAAAGGACTATCTTCTAACTGTCAACTATTACTCAAAATGGGTAGAGATTGGCTTGCAACAGTTGTGAAGTCATCACCCAACTTAAATCCACCTTTGCACACTATGGGATACCTGATGTAGTCATTTCTGACAACAGTCCTCAGTTTTCAAGCTGGAAATTCAAATAATTCACAGATTGGTGGGGATTTAAACAAACCACTACAAGTCCCAAGCATCCACAAGTGAATGGACAAGTAGAAAAAGCCAGTGGAACAACCAAATCTGTTCTAGAGAAAGCTTATGAAGATGGTACCGATCTATAAATTGCCTTGCTGGAAAACAGAAATACTCTGATCACTGGACTGAGCTATTCTCAGGCTCAAATTTTCCTTAACAGAAGGCTGAAAACCAAACTTCCAACTACTACACAGCTTCTGTATGCAAGAATTTCAACAGATGCTAAGTTCCAGCTCTTAGCTCAACAGAAATCACAAAAGCCATTCTTTGAATGAGGAGCAAAGTCACTGCCTCCTGCAAAAACTAGTGATGCTGTTCGAATATAAACAAAAAATGGCAAAAAACCTTCCAAAGTTACAAAACTTGCTCGCACCCCTTGATCAGTAATTCTGATCTGCGGTGGAACTCTCTACAGACGAAACAGGAGAGAGAACATCAAGACTTCATAAGTTAACAAAGGCACCATCGCAAGTGCAAAAGGTGACAGAGAAATCACCAAGAGCACAGGGAGTGACAGAAACATCGTCAAGACCCCTCAAGTAGTCAGAACAAGATCTGGCCATACTATTTGGGTACCAAGACAAGATGACTTGGTATATTACTGGTATGACTGATAATTGTTGAAAAAATGCTAGGCTGAGTTGCTGAGTTGTTGTTGTCAGCTGAGAACACTAACTTTAAAACGATTTTTGTGTGGCTTACACGAAGTGTAAACCACACTATGTCATGATTGAAGATATTTATTCCTGGCTGGATTTGTCATGGTGAACAGAGCGCTTGTCACGTGGTTTACTATCGTCGAAGATAGGTTCCAGTCTATGCTTGGCTAAGTTACCTGAGCTTCAAAGCTTCAGAAAGTGACCATTTTGCAATGGTGGCTGTAACACGCTGTCGAAGATCGGTTTTTTATCTAGTTTTTCGTTCATCTTTGTTTCTTAGATTTCACATGCTGGCTTTCCTATAGTCGGCTTGTCTTCTAAGTGCAGATTACAGCATGGAGTTGTGCTCTCACAGGCCAACATTTCATGGTCTGGACCTTTAGTGCAGGTTGTGCCACATTGAAACTTATGAATAGGACTAAATGAATAGGAGCCTAGTGCTTTAATGTTAACTGAAATGTGATTAGTGTTATGTTTTCCAAGTTATGGCCAGAATTATTCAGACCTTAACATTTCATGACTTCCTTCAAGCTTAACAGTCTTCTAGATTCTCTTCATAATGGTTCAGATAAGCATTGGTATCTATACTTGGTAGCAATACATGTGTATTAGGCCTTTATTTGATAGACTACAACTCCTTTCCAGTTACTTGTTTGGTTTGGTAAATTCATCACAGTACTGACATACATGAAAAATTACACTTTTTTGATTGGCTGAAAATAACTAGGTGCCTTTTTCATTTATCATTAGTGAAGAAGTAATAACTCATGTACAAAATAATATAAACTAGGCTCAGCAATAAGAGATCACATTAAAAACTAATCAGATTTACACAAAGTAGTTTGTTCTGATTGATACATGCAGTAGCTGACAAAAATATACAAAAGCTGAGATACTTTTATGTATATTGATAAACACTAACAAAATTGCTTTCCTGAGTAAGAATTCAGCTGAAGGACAAATTTTGATGGCAAACTTCATTTAGTCAATACTGTCAAATTTATCTGCCATCAGTTTGTTGATTTCCTGAAAATGTGTATCTTTCATATATACATTATGAATAATTAATAGCATGATTTCTCATATGATGAGCACTTGAAAATTTTTTAAATACTTTAAACTGCACACACATTAGATAACCATCAGGTATCCTTGGAGACCCAGGGGTTCTAATCATATCTGTAGACCCCTTAAAAGCACAGTCTTAACAGATCAGTTCCATAACTGTCACAGTCATTCTGAATTTTGATTGTTACCAGAAGTTTAATCTTGTTCTGGCAAATGAGAGTGAAGCAAGTCTCACAAGTCCTCTTGTGGGCTCTAACACAGAGTGATACATGAAGTTCAGTTGCTTGCCATGTTTGTTTTGGACCTTTTTGTACGGTAGATTAGCACTTTGCATGATGATGCGAAGTCGACCATTTGCATGATGATATCAAGTTCACCTATTCATTTCTCCAAATAACTTGAATTTGGTAGACTCACTGGCATGAAATTACAATTTCAATAATAAGAAAACTTGAAAGTTTCTGGTAGTTTAAATCATATGATACCATCATGCACTTGCCTGTACATTGAACTCTGCTGTGTTTAAGTTATGTCTCTGATTACTGTTCCTGAAATCTATCATGGTGACACTCTATCTCTATTGAACTTTCTGTTAAATAAAACCTCCAGGTCAAATTATAAATCTTATTGGGTTAAAAAATATTAGAAATGTAACTTCAGAGTACTTAACTCAACATATGATTCATTAAAATATTGCTTGTGTTCTGATCTTGTAATTGCACCAATCTTTTTTCTCTAGACTCTTCCATTTACAACCTCATATCTACCTATCTGAGCTAAATTTTTCTGTTCTTTATTGAAAATACAGTCCCACAAAACCTAAATACAATGATTATAGTAAAATTTTTGCTCTCAACTCACTGAAAGTTGAACTTTATGCCCTAATGGACTAAAGAAACCTACACTCAGCATTGTGTTACTTTACATGTATGTATTGTCCAAAATTAGTCATAAATTCAAACCAAATCAAGCTCCCAATGGCTTCTAGTGTAGATTGCATCATTTCCCAAATGTCCCTGCCCTTCTGCAAAGTTTTGTCCTTGTGTACTGGTACACAAAATGTCAAAAATATTCATATGAAATTCTTCCCTAGAGTTCATTTCACATCACTTGCCTTGGAAAAGACAATCAACCTACAAACTTCAGAAGTCAATTCCACTTCATTACATAAACATAATCATGACTGAATCTATCAGACCACTATGGGAGATTATGCTGATGTTTTTTTAGTTCCTAAAATCCTTGGGTTACATGTACAACCTTTATTGTCAAAATGAGACCTCCAATAACAAAGTTTGGCCAATAACTCTCATCTTCAGAATGAACATTTCAGGACTTTTGTATGCTATTTATCCTGTGTTATTGATGAACAGGATCGATATTGAAAACTATCTAATGGTTATCAGATAGTAGCTCTTCTAATTGAAACCCAATGAGATACCAGACACCAAGAAGCAGCTCAATTTTGTAAGCCACACATATACGCATTGCGGACCTATTTTTACATAATTCTTGGACAATGAACTGTGAACAATATTGATATTTGAATTGCTTGTATATTACTCTGCATAGTTGTTTAGAGGGGAGATGTCATTATATATGTCTTATCTCACTCTAACCACATGGTCTTTATTAAACATGGCAGAAGTCTGCAAAACTAATACAAGATAGTATCCTGTTAGTATCAAATTTCCATATGTACAAGTTCACAAATTTTGATGCCACAATCCAAACCTTCCTTTGCTTGGCCAAACCAGATCATATCATTTTCCATTTGTACATCACTTTTTTACTCACATTGTAATACATGATCTTTGTTTAGGGTTTTCTTATGCTTGCAATGGGTGAACTGGGTGAAATTAAAAATACACATGTGAATTCTACCAGTTTATTTTAATTGAGACTCTCATCTGCAGAAGTGTTGATGGATTTAGCCGCTCATGTTTACATAGATAATTGAATTAATCAATCCACCAATGAATTCTTACTGTACCCACAGCGTGTGTTTCCTATCAGATTGTAAACAATTGTTGAGTTACCCATTGCTTTACAAAAAATAATTAAAAGTCTCTCACTTACTCACATTCTAGCTAACCAGTAACCATGAGAACATGGTCTTCTTCACTTTTCACAGCAAATGCAGCCTTTGTTAATAAAAGTTTATGTGCTAAGTCTTCAAGGGCTGTTTTCATTATTCTCTCTGTATTTTTAGCTTCAAGATAGGATTTTTATGACAAAATTTTGAAACATCTTTGCAAAAAAGTTCCGAATATCATACATGTGTGTCATCAACAAGTACACTGTTTTGACAATTTTGATTTTCTAACTGGCAGTTGAAAAGAACTATAATTGTTGTTTTGATTGGTCCAAAAATCTTTAACGATTTTACTTCAACACAAAGTTGCTTGGAAATTATTTTGAGTAACTGATGATGTTTACTTCTATTTTGTGCATGATGAATTTACCAGAAATACACAAAACAAACACTGCCAGTGAAAGAATGAATCCAACAATCAAAGACCAAGGAATTTGAAAAATAAATAACAAGGTGAATATTTTGACATTGACTATTGTTTTCTTTGTTATTTATTTTTCTGTTCTAAAAACTTGACTTGAATGTGACAAAGTATACCTGGGAATTCACAACAAAATACCTGCAGATGCCAGGTCTTAATGAAAGCACTGGCTTCAAGGCATTGAAAGTTGACTGTCAGTGTTAATTTGGCAATCTAAAGTCCAAAACTGTTATGAGTGGTTAAATCTTCTTACCAACTTGGTCCATTAAAAGTACATGTCTCCTCAAGCTACCTTTCCAACAGTCATTTACTACAAGCCCACTAGCACTTTCACTACAATGTATATGTGACAATGCAATAGAGCATGGAAGGAACAACACTAATGTAAACTGGTTCTGGTGTGAATTGACATGGGAAAATACACCACACAAAACCCAAGACTTCTTACTTTTGTTGGTCCTTTGACTTGAGAAATCCATCAAGCACCATCTGTTTTCTGCCATCATGAGAATTTGGTCTCTTTCTTTTCCTGTCCACTTTGGCTTGTTTTTCATTCTCACCACTGTTGTGCATTTCGAAGGCAGTGAAAACTTTCCGCATGGCTGTGGAAAGAGCTGCAGTATCTAAGTCTTCTCTTGTTATCCACCTTATTTTGCTTTTTTCTTGGGAGGTTTGAAGCAAATGCTTGATTTCAGGGTGCTCATATGAAAACACCATGTACTTATGATGAACGTGCGAGAATTTATGAGAAACCTCTGCTATTCTTTTTTGAGTCCTCTGTTTGAGGGTGATACCCAGGTTGTTTTCCAAGAAGTTACAAAGGGTAGTAAACATGTAAGCATCAGATTGATTTGATTCTACAGCAACATTAGGGAAATCCCACAAGCCTGCTAAAAGTCCTGTTTTGGGTCTCTGAGTCAACAGAAAATGAGATCCCACCTCCATGTCATGTTTAATAACAACAACAGCCAAAGTCTCCTCTTTAGGTTGTTTCCGTTTAGGTTTCTGTGGGTAATTGCAAACACCGAGGGAGGGCTTCCACAGTGAAGATGGTAGGCAAAGGATACATTCTTCAATGTCAACATGTTTATCAACTTTTATGCCATTGCTGGATGTTAGTCCTTTTTCTCTATGCAGAATGGATACTGGAGAGTCCTGTTTCACTACTTGCTTTAAAGCACTACAATCCCTTTGCAGAGGGCATACATGACACCGTGGAGCTTGAGGTGTACACAGTGTTGCTCCAAATTCCATTAAAGCCTGATTAAACTCACCAGGTCTATCTTCAGGAACAAGTTTATGAGAAAGCTCCCAAAACTTCCGCTCAGCTTGAGTACTGGAACTTACAGCACCAATACCACAAAGCCTTGATAAAACTCTAATCACATTTCCATCAACTATTCCAGTGCACTCACCAAATGAAATGGAAGCAATAGCGCCTGCAGTGTATTTACCAACTCCTGGTAGCTCTTTCAGTAGTTCAGATGCTGTGGAAGGTATGTTTCCTTTCATTTTCTCTACAACCTGTAAGGCATAAAATGCATTTTAGAGCACGTAATACTGATGGTATCTTTCAGGTCAATTTTTTCTAATGCATTTTTCCTCTTAATCAACTGTCATCATCCATTTCTGTAATTATATGGCCTTTCAGCAAGCTGCAACATAAATGGTTGGTTTCATATTTTCAGAACCTACTTTAACCAGTCAGTCAAACCTTTCAATTTTTCTTGATATCATGACTCGAAAGCCTGCTTTCATCTTGTAGGGCTAATTTTTATAAATTGTTCTCCATTAGTCACTTTCTGTTCACTTAGACCCATAATTGGCTTCCATTCATGAATGGTGTACTGACTATAGTCTTCCTTTTCAGAGTGATTCAATCAACAGGTATTTAAAATTTGGTAGATTTTGGTTTTAACCCAGAAGCCAATGTCTTGTGCATAAAAAAAGGAGTTAAGGATGCATAATAAACTAAGAACAAATTTTAATAAAAAGATGCACAATAGGGCAGTGTCATAGAAGACAGTATAGATAATCAAAAACCAAAGCAAATGGAAGGCTCCTTGGAGCTACTTCATGGTGTGTTTTAATTATTCAATCGAGTCATGAGAACTTTAACCCCTTTGCAATCTCCTTCGAATAATGTTTGACATACCCTTAATTAAAAGACCAGTTGATTTAATATTAATTTTAAACATGTTGGCCTTGGCAACAAAAACCATATGCACAATATCAACAGACAAAAGATCCCTCCAAGACAACATTTGGTTAAAAGTCAGATAAATCAAAATATTTCAACCTGTAATGTTGGGACTGCTGTCATTGTCGATTTTAAGACTTTGATGCCCCAATCAGATTGCCACATTAAGTATGTGAGAAACATACCCTTATGGGGCAATCTGATTGATGTGAGATACATACCCTTATGCAGCGATCTGATCGGTGGGAGCAACACGCCACTCTACACGCTAACACAGAGTTTTTTTTTTTTGGAAAAAATAACTCAAAAATATTCTGCGCGAATATTTCGTAAATGTTTGTGGATCAATTGTTAAGTAACTTCTGAAGCATACAGCCTACCCGCTTACAATGACCTTTTTTTACAATTTTGTCTAGGAAAAAAAGGCAAACTTTTAAATAAGTTTAGAGTCTGACCTTTTTAGCTCCATCGTGGAGTCTCTTTGCTCGCGAATAGTAACCAAGTCCTGACCACATCTCGTTCACTTCTTCCAAACTCGCACGCGACAAATGTTCAACAGTCGGCCATTTCTCCATCCAGCGAATGTAATACTCCTTTACGGTGGCGACCTGTGTTTGTTGCAGCATAACTTCAGAGACCCACACAGCATATGCACGCCTATTTAGATCAGGTTGAGACGCCAACTCTCTCCAGGGAAGCTTTCTGCAATTCTTGTCGTACCATGTCAGCAGATTAGCTCGAATTCGCTGGATTTCATCTACAGTGAAATCATGCGTGTGATCTTCTGATCCAACAAGCTCCACACATTTGTTCTTGGATTCTGTTTCTTTCCTAAATTTGCTCATTCTTTAGTTAGTCTTATCGCACAAGACGTCCACAATACTCGCAGATAGTTCAATGTGCTGGTGACTTTGGCGCGAACCAACCTAAACGAAATGCTACGTCACAGCTAGGCGGTCAATAACGCGGGCTCAAGCACTCGAGGCTGAAAATTCAGCGAACTTTGTGGAGAAGACAAGAAGCTACGCGCGTACGAAGCCTATGTTCCGGCCGGACTTGCAATCGAGATGGAACGAATTAAAGGCCTTGCAGCTTTTAGCAAAATCGCTACCGAGTGCTATGGAGATTAAGACTTTGGAACAAGTTGATGCCATGACAAATTGGAAATACTAAAATCGCTAGATGAAATGCAGGGCCAAGCGTTAAGTACCGCAACTAAGTCAACAGAAAAGGAATAGTCACTTTGTGACCATTTTTGTGTGTGACTTTTTTTGACTGTGTTCCAACGCCGCAGAATAATAAGCGCATCCCTCGGGCGTTCTACAAAATCAGTGCTAAATAACATCCTGCGTTTATCAAACTTCGGGTTGCAAAATTCATCAAATTTTTACGCTGCGATTCAGATCTTTCTCAGCCTGCGCGAGCCAAATTCCTCTATTTTCCATTTCTGTGTCAAGTTTTGCCTCACAGTCGCTCACTAGATATTTGCATTTGAAGGCGATGATCTTTTTTTACAAGGTTTTCTCCAGCTTCCATCTGATAACAAACCTCTAAAGTTTTCTGCCCTGGAACGATATACCACAGAGGGCATTTTATGGATCGCAAGTTCTTCGACTGATTCAAATTGAAGATATATGGCAGTGACTTTCATAATTTTTTTTGTTAGGAAAGTATGGTTTTTTCGTCCGCTAAAGTAATCTACCGATAGATCCGATTGCCAATGTTTACATTGAATTACGTTAACAATTGAAGCGATTCACAGCGTTAGGTTCATGCCTTAACTAAATATTTTTAAACATTTTCGCTGAAATTGCATCTTAAAACTACGTCATGGAACGCAAGTTCTTCACTCTAACGGTCACAAGATGGGGCACGCTTCACGGTAACGAATGGAAATGTACGAAACGTCACAGCACGTGAAGAATGCATGAACAAATACCTCACAGTGGTGCTCTAATGGTTGGTTGATGTGAACTTTATACATAGGGGTAGGATTACTAAATTAAGAGGTTCTCCTCTGTAAAATATCATATACTTTGGCTGAAAACAAAATTTAAGGGGCGACATATCAAAAAATATTTACTAATTTCTTCATGGGATTTGTCGATCAAACATACAACAAATTTATATTTGATGTTGTTACACTATAAGATCTCAAAACAGCCTTTTCATTCCCCACTTGTATGAGGCGTGGAAGGGAGAAGTTATCAACTGTTGAACTGTTGGTGAACAGTCAACTTTTTAGGATGTCACGCAACACTCCCTCCCTACACCGAGGGAAACTTTCTGTTGGGGTGCGCCTTGCGTGACATCTCAAAAATCATAGTGTTGATTGGTCAGCTGGTCCTCACAAGTCGCTCTCTGCTATGATTGGTGAAAATGTCGCTAGGGGGTTCTAGGCGCATTAACAGTGCCCCGCTCCCTTTCACATTTGTTACTTGATCTTTGAACTACCTCAGCTGAATTTCTGCATTGTGGACTACAAAGGAGACGTTTCGTAAATTTTCTAGTTCTTAAGCTCCTTATTGAGCGAGTTTTCATTTGAAATGGCAGAAGAGATTCCAAATACTGAAAGGGTATTTTTCGTCTCGATTTCTAGCCATTTACTGTTTGCACTGTGCTTAATGGTCCTCACGTCTTGATCTGTTTTGTAGGTGGAGAAAGTTGGCGACTTGACCGTGTATGTTGTGGTACGTTTGCTTTTTGCCTGATATAATTGCGTTTTTAGCGCTTATTTAAGTCTGAACGCATCGCATAGGCTGTTTATATTCGCGATCGGGAGCAGTGTGTTATTATTTTTAAATGATAATTTAAGTATACATGTAGTTTCAATTCTCCTCTGCTAATAAATTGAGGTCAAGCTTACGTACAGTTGTTTGATTCTCAGGGCGAAGATTCCAAGGATAAAAAAGACGAGAAGGAAAACATCAAAAAGAAGGAGGTCATGATAACATTTCATGATGTTGGAATGAACCGTAAGTCCTGTTACGTGGAAGAAATGTCCATAATGTGTGTCATGCTTTGCTTTGATGAACAGCACAATGGAAAGAAGGCCACCTTGCTCGCAATATGCGTTGTTGTTGTCGCTCCCGAAGCAAAATGTTTTGGGACTACTGTTGGTGATAGTCGAGCACCGCTTTTTTGGATTTTAAACGTAATCGTAAGGTATCGAGATTTAAATGTACTTCTAAAGGTGTTGTATCGTGGAAAGGGCATGGCGAGGCAACTAGGTGTTTATCATCTTTCCTCTGGTTTGTGGCTCTTCAGCAGACTTGACTTTACTGGTATTTAGCATGCATAGATCAGTGGATGGTCTGATTTTGAGCCCATGGGCTTTCCTGCCCTTTTTATGGCAAGGACTTAATGTAAAATTGTCATGCCGTCATGTTCTTGGTAAACGTCAATTTCCATAAATGGAGGTGTGTTGGAAGGTGTGTTGAAAGCACAGGCTCTTCTTAATAAACGGATTTAACACTAGTCATGTAGATATTGTGCTTAAACCCAGGACAGAAATGCTTTTGATGGTGAAAACGTCTACTTGTATTGGAATCATGCATGAAGTGTTTTCTTTAAAGTATACTTTTGTCTCACGTCAAAATAATTGTCATAGAGTAGTGGGCTGAGACACAAAACTAAAATTTTGCACAATATTTTTGATGAGTGGTAAGGAAAGATGGTGTGTATCAGAGGAAAGAGAGAATAGAGACGTACATTGCAACCTCAAACATTCCTAGTGAAAGCAGATATTGTGTGTTTTTGAAGTGCAATCAAGGGTGTAATATGAATTATTGAGATGATCACTAAAGGTTTAAATGATATTTGTTGAGGTATGATATTGTTTGAAAAGCTGCCAATGCAAAACATGTGAAAAGCTTTACATGGTTCTTCAAACTTCAGCTTATATAAAGGCACCTGAATACACATTGGAAACTATTGCAATATTCTGTTTTCTCTCACTGATAAAATGTAGTCTGTCATTTTAGCAGACAATATCAGTTTGCTTTTTGACACAGTGACTGTAGTGAGACAGTATTTTTTTTTTAGTAACTGAGTCATTTACTCAGTTGAGTTAGAGTCTGTGAAAACTTTGAATTTAAGTTGTTGAAATGATTATTTGACAACAGCTCTTAAAAAGGTATCGCAACCATTACTCAAGACTATACAAATTCAGAGCAGTCAAGTCTTGCGCATTGAGCTTTAGACTCTTGCAAATGAATTCAATCTTATGCTCTCATGCTGAAACTATTGTTTCTTGTACATGTAAGGTTTGGAATAACAGATGGCATATTACTGCTTTAGTACTTACATGTATGAAACTAATCATCCTTTTCAATATAATTTACTCCTTGCTCCCATTGCACTTGCTACAAACATTTTCCAGTAGTAGGAGTTCTCATTCAGGATAAAGGAATGCAAGTGTTGCCTATTTAAATTTTTTTCATGATTTTCTGGGGAAGTATGCTCCTATTTCATATCAGGAGGGTGAAGAGCACAGCATCACAATCAAATGTTTAAGAGGTGGAAAATTTGACAGCAAATCAACTTGCAAGCTCTGCAAATTGTATATAATTGAGGTAATAGGGTTAAAAAGGGTCCAGATCAATGGGTACAGCAAACTGCCTACTTAGTCAACATACTGTTCATGTAGATTTTTAATCACAAATGCTCAATTACCTGAACTAAAGGATGCATCAATGTATTTAACATATATCTACAATTGAGCTTAAATTGCAAGTGTAATGTCACAGTTATAAGCAAAAATTTACATTTTCAGATAAAACATGCTTTGAAAGGTTCTTCCAACATGAAGATATTGTCCACCTACTGGATCGCTTTGTTATTTACCATGTGGATGCCCCAGGACAGGTATCAAAGTGACTATTATGAATATTTTAGAGAACAATATACCTAGTTACACTGTCAGATAATCTCAAACTTCCTTCATCTCAAACTTAGCTTTTGATAAGAAATAAATGTCTCTTGGCAAACATACTTATATAAGAATGTCAGCTGTTGCATAAAATATGAAAATGGCATTGATTAGAGAAGAGGTCAAGTGGGTAACGGTCAATTAATGCTTGCCACCACTGAGAGTCAAATTGCCACTGATAGCTATTTCACTTCAACATTGTGTATAGCCTGCTGTATGAAACTTATAGCAAATGAAAACTAATATGTTAATATATATGTATCACCAAAAGAGAAAGGGACTCAGAAGTTGTGTAGCCTCTCAATTATGGCACATTAACTTTTAAATGAAATAAAACATGTTGATTTCATGAAGACTGTTTTGAGTTTGCATACAATAAAACCAGAGTGATTTTTGCTGATGTGTATGAAATTGTGTGAAACTAAGATCAAGGCTAAGAAGTAGTGGAGAATTGCGGCAAAAAGCATGCACAAATACAGTGAAGTTAACAAAAATGGACATGGCATCTTTTTTTGTTTTAAGGACAAAGAATGTCAATGTGACCCGTAACACGAGTTTTGTTCTTAAGAACACAATTCATAACAGGAAACTTCCTTAAGCTTGTACTTTAAAGTGAAGCTTATTCAAGACATGATTGAAATAAATTAAAGTGAATCCACAAACAACTTCAACTTCAAAAAATATTTCATCAATCCAAGTGGGCTCCAAGATGTCACTGAGATATCTGATTCACACATTGTTTAATGATGATGTAGTTGTTACAGCTGTTTTAACCTTGACTCGAAAGGTTGTCAGTCACCATCTCCACTATCTATAGGGACTAAGCAAAAGTCAGGTCAATTGTAACCTCATTTCAACCTTTTCTTTTCATCAATTCTTGCTTCATTCCAATGATAGAACATAAATTTGCATAAACTACACTGCACATAATGCATTCATTTTTAAATAAATTATTCACTGTTGGAGGAGAATTTAT